CCCCAAAACCCCAAAACCCCAAAACCCCACTTTAGAGTAACCATGTAGAAAAATACAAAAATGGAGTACACCCATACATCAAGGAACCCTTCCAAATCAAGAGAAGAGGTGAACTTAAGAAGTAGCTCTTCCAGAAACTTAAACCCAAAATCAATGATTATCAGCCCTTATTTTCCAGCCCAAAATCAGGTCTCCAAAGTTAAATTCCTAAAGAAAAGGGTAAATCTAGCATGGTATTAGTTCATAATAGAGATCAGTGGATCACTCGATAAACAGTAAAAATTCCCAAAATCCTTCAAATTTCTACCAAAAAAGAGGCAGAAAAGTCAAGAATTTACACTGAAATAGGGATTCTGGGCCTTGGAGGTCCAATTAGGATACTTCAAGACTACTTCTCGCATAAGTTGGTCCTTAGGCGTCAGGTGGGTTTTTGGATAATCATGATAGTATTCATTACAATAGCTGACTTTATATTTAGACCAGAAATATAGCAGCCAATCGGATCCTTGACTCGAGTAATACGGTCAAAGGAGACCTATTTATTACTACGTTTGAGCCAGATGAAATTCAGGGCCCGAACAGAGATGTTGAAGGGAAGGAGAGATTTGGAGGAAAAGCAGGACCTAAACTGTATTATAAGAAGAGGAATGTGCATAAAAACATTAAGAATTTTAAGTCTTTCGGATGGTATTTGAAGTTTTGATTGTTATAGAGATGGGGAAGTGTCATCTCAAATTCCAAATGTAAAGATCAGTGAGCAATCGCCTGTAAATAGCTTTCAGACAGACCCTTATTCTCTAATGCCTGAACTTGCAGAACGTCCGAGAAAAAGGACTCAATGAAGGACATCATTAAATAAAAATTCCCCTTCAGAATCGGGAGTAAATTCGATGTTTTATCAGCAGAAAGCTAGGCCAACACCTAACTTGACAATAACAAACAGCATAAAAAGCTTAGAGTATCTTATTTTTGCTGATCTTTAGTTCTGATGCAATGCAAAAGAAGCCAAAAAGATATTCAAATGCTCAGAAAATGGTAAATTTTCTGGCAATAAACAGGGCAAAACCTTTCCAAACTAATCTGCATAAGAGTTATGTTGCTGCCTACTCTAACATTGGCATGAACTCTAACCCTGTCAGGAGTCTCAGTATTTCGACAATAGAAAGATCCAAGCGCCGTCGCTTACTTCCTCACCTCAAAAAGAACCCATCCAAGAGTAACTTCCCCTATCCCTTCCATTTCTGACCCATAACACCTCTTACTCATTCCTATAGAAAAACTTCTGCGCCAGGCCACTAATTTTGCCAAAAAGAAACCTACACAGGTAAGCTTTGGTCGTGAATATGATAGATAACGATTGATTTGAATGTGAGCTGAAGACTAGGGGATTTTTTGGTAGATGATGAATGGGAGTAGGTGAAAGTCATGTTGATTAAATTCGATTTTGGAGTTTTGAAGGGGTTTTGGGGTTTTGGGGTTTTGGGGTTTTGGGG